CCAAGATCCGAGATCATCTTAAACCTTGCTTTACCCCCTCTTCATCTCCATTGAAGACGGCATCGTGATTGACCTATCAAAGTATATCAATACGGTCAGAGTCGACCACGAGAATAAGCTTGGCTTTGTTGGTGGGGGAGCGAGCTGGAAAGACGTTGACGAGGAAGCCATCACGTATGGACTTGCCTCTGTCGGTGGAACCGTGAACCACACAGGTGTCGGAGGGCTGACGCTTGGTGGAAGTTATGGATGGCTTACAGGTGAACACGGTATGGTTATCGACAACCTCGTTCAGGTATGCCACCTCTCATGTATGATAGATATAACATCTCACTAATGTCTTCGGTTCATAGGCTACACTGGTCACAGCAGATGGTGTCATCCGGACTACCAACGAAGAATAAGAGCTAGATCTCGTCTGGGCTATCCGAGGAGGGGGTACGAACTTTGGCTGCGTGACCGAATTCGTTTACCGCTTGCACCCTCAACGCGCCACGGTCTATGCTGGTCCACTCATCTTTCCGCCGTCGATGATCGAGACCGTCACTGCAACTCTCGATGAGTGGTACAGAGATGCAAGTGAGAAGGAAGCCATCTTACTTGTGACGACCTCTAGGCGTCCCACTGGTGATCCTGCTATCGTCGTCTGCGTCTTTTTCAATGGAGATGAAGAGGGGGTAAAGCAAGGTTTAAGATGATCTCGGATCTTGGTGGGTTTATTGATCATTTGGCTTTATCTCGACATTAACACTGGCATTTCAAAGTCCTGTTGCGAATTTTGCTGGCATGCTCCCATATGAGAAGCTCAACGCTATGCAGAACGAAGCCATTCCTTATAACATCTATTGTGATCTCACGGGTATCACACGCGGCAGTCTTCCTCCTTCAGCCGCTTCAGCAATCTTTGACAAGTTAATCACGATAGCCAATGCTCCTTCCCCATTCAAATCGATCGATCCTATCACCAAGGTCGAGGAACCGGTATGAGTATTCTATGGGAGTACTGGAACCTGAAGAAGCAATCGACACCAGCGCCAGACGCCACCCCATTTAGAATGCGAGTACCGTATCCAATGGCACCCCTGGGCATTTTTTGGTCCGCAGAAGGAGCAGAAGCAAGCCAAGAGGCCAAGGAGAGAGTGAGGGTGATGAAAGCGTTTTGTGATGCTGAGTTATGGCCGACATTTGGACCAGATGGTCCAAGCGCGAATGGCACCGGTTATGGGAATTCTGGTGAGATTTGAATATAATAATTATGCGGCATACGAACTAATTCTTGCCTTAGAAAGCTATAATCCGGCGAAGGCGGATAGTGCAAACCTACTTTTTGGAGATAACTATCCACGACTAAAGAAGATTAAGGCTAGATATGATCCAAGCCTGATGTTCAAATCATGGTTCCCAATTCAGCCTGTTGACAATGCGTAAACCAACAAGTGAATGTGGCCTAGAAATCTATGCTTTCTCACCCTCTTACTAAATAAAAAATGCTCGTACTATCAGGCTGTATTTCGTACAGGCAATAAATGTCTGGCATTTACCGGCATGCCACCATGCTCTAGACCAGCTGTCTTTAAGCTGCACATGTTAAGCAGTTACGCGAAGGTGAAAAGTTCGAGATAGTCATAGGGCCAATTCACATCCAATGGATGTGTATGGTCTTTCAGTTTCTCATCTTGATCCCAGTAAATTTGCTGTTCACGTTTGGTGCGTCCTTCATTCCATCCTTACTCGCTTCTCTTGACCATTGGCCTTACTCTCGGGCTCTCCTATTGATGGCCGTCCAATGATAATTCAGTTCGCCTGGCTTTTAAACGTTGACAAAGCGTTCCGAATGACTGTTCGGTGATCATATCTCAGTTCAGGTAGGCCTGGGCCCGGTAGTGCTTTCTCCTTGTGCGGCGACCTTTCCGTTCGCTAAAAGTGACCGCTGAGGAAGGGTCTCTGAATATATGCCTTTCCGGTCTCCATTCTATTCCTCTTTAATTTTCGTAGGATGGAATGGTTCACCCAATATTTCGGTTCGGGTGGCTACAGGCTAGATGTCGAAGGGGTTAGCTAATACTCTTTTTGTCGACGTAACCCTATGCGATGCTTACGTACTCCACGGGCTATCACCTCCATCAATTGAGAGTACTCACCTAGAACAAGGTTTGCTTTGGATAAGGAGAGGCCCTCTCGTCATGATTTCCCAGCAACTCCGCACTTTGTCTAGAACCACCGGCCACAGACCTAGCCCTCGATCTCTGTACACCGAAATCATCTCCATCTATTACATAATCTTCCGTAGAGGTTTAAAGATACTCTGGAGAGCTGTGATATGACCTTCACAATACCTTTTCGACTCAGCTTACTTTATACACAGCAATTTGGGAAGAAGAAAAAAAACAGCATCTCAGGCATGAACAAGACGTCGAACATCGATTTGAAGACCCTCCTCCTCGACGCCGGTTTCACCGGTGACCTCATTGTTCCCTCTGATCTAGATTACCCAGCCGCCATCCTACGTTTCGCAAAAAACGCCCAGAAACGCGCTGCAATCGTCGCGTATGTCAAGACAGTTGAGGACGTTGCACGCGTCATAAAGTTTGCATCTGCCAACTCGATTCCTCTTGTTGTCAAAGGGGGTGGACACAGCACGGCCGGTGCTTCATCTATTGAAAATGGTATCGTGGTCGACTTATCGAAATATATGGACGCGGTCAGAATAGATAAAGAGAAGAAACTTGTCTCTGTCGGTGGAGGTGCCCTCTGGAAGGATGTGGATGCGCAAGCCATCAAGCATGGGCTGGCTGCCGTCAGTGGAACCATGAACCTTGTAGGGGTCGGAGGTCTCACACTTGGTGGTGGAATGGGGTGGCTCATGGGTGAACATGGGATGGTGATCGATAACCTCGTTCAAGTACGGAATATCCTATATGTCAATTTTCAGTGTCTCACCTTCTTTTCTTACTCTCGCAGGCTACCATAGTGACTGCTGATGGAACCATTCGTACTATCAACGCAAGAGTAGAGCCAGATCTTTTCTGGGCTATCCGAGGCGGTGGAACCAACTTTGGCTGTGTGACAGAATTTGTCTATCGCCTTTACCCACAACGAGCCACTGTTTATGCGGGACCACTCATCTTTCTGCCATCTGCTATCGAAGAGGTCACCTCTGCCATGGAAGAATGGTATAAAGGAGCGAGTGAAAAGGAGGGTGCCTTTCTATTAACGACATCTCAAGGATTCTTCAGCGGACCTTCCGTCGTTGTCTGGATCTTCTTTAATGGTGATGAAGAAGAGGGCAAAATGAGGTTCAAAAAGATCATAGATCTCAGTATGTCATATTTCCCCATCGAGAGCAAAGTGCAATCTAACTCCTGTTCTTTAAATTGTGACAGTCCCAGTCATGAATCTCGCCTCGACATTGCCATTCGAACAGCTCAATGCCATGCTGAATCAATTTTTCCCTTATGGTACCAACCGTCGTATTTCTAGCGTCATGCGTGCCAGTCTTCCACCCTCATCAGCCTCCACCATCTTTAACAGACAGATTGAATTGGCCAACATTCCTTCTGCTTTTCGAGCAATAAACCCCTATACCTTGGCAAAGGAGCCGAACACAGTTGACTTGGCAATCTGGTGGGAATACTTGCCCTTGAAGAAACAATCGTCTCTCCCACCGGATGCAACGGCATTCAGAATGCGAGTGCCTTATCCACATGCAGCAATCGGTGTGACGTGGTCTGCAAATGGTGTAGGTGCGGACGCCGAGGCCAAAGAAACATTGGAGGCTTTGAAATCTTTCTGTGAGGATCAATTGCGTCCAACGTTTGGACCGTCCGGACCACATGTAGACGGTACCGGGTATGGAAACTCTGGTAAGTCATATTGAGTTCCCCATTAGCTTTTCATAAGTCATTAAAACCCCTTATAGAGATTCATGGTGTAACAACGCGTGATAGTGCTCAGCTACTCTTCGGAGCGAACTATCCGAGGTTACAAAAAATCAAAGCCAAATATGATCCAAATACCATGTTCAAATCCTGGTTCCCCATTCAGCCTGTCCCTACTGTGTAGTTTGTCCTCACCGATTGTGTATTATAGTTATAAAGCAGTTTCCTCAAATCAACAAATATAGGGTGACATACATGTACATACAATCTTTGGAGGGCTTGAAAATCATATAGAATTGTCACCGGAGTACTCAGACAGTTCTTTCAGTGTGCAGGGTTTTGGGGTGGCACAAGTAGGACCCACTATACAATTTAGTCTCAACTTGGCCGGGGCCTGACCTAACGATAGCTTCTAGGATGCCCCGCGTTCCCTAAATCGCCGGTTTGAGAACTTCATGTGGGTCGGAGAAATGTATATGAAATGGACTAGCGGTGTGGATGACCCCATCAAGGGATTTGTCCTGAAGAGCGACATCGTACGCCCCCTCGGCTGAGATATCTGCAATTGATTTGGGGTCATCGGGTGAAAGAGGAGTGGCTAGGATGGAGAAGACATTAACCAGGGACAATCACACTTCCAACTGATCCTTGTATTTCATATTCGCCTGTAGAGTCTGATCCGCCTTCTCCAGAGTCCGCACGGTAAAGCGCACCAAATGCCCGTTCTTTAGGAACTCATCGAGCACATGAGCAGCTATGAATTCAGATGCACCTGTCAAGAGAACTCGACCCATTTTGTAAGTTGTAGGCAGTATTTGTGGTTGGGGGACAGGTGGGGGGGATGATGATGATGTCGGGTACACAATCAGACTGAGCTCAGTGGCTAGCTCGAGAATCGCTGATGGAATAGTTGTCAGCAGACAGGGCCGAGGGAGTTAGCCGTGTATTATGTAAGCAAACTGCTCGCCGTCAACAAATGGGTGCCTCTAGCTCTGAGATCCTTTTCGACCCGTTCATCACGACCGGATCGGCAGAATCGTCTGTCAACACTCTCGCAAATAATGAAGTCAAATGTCCTTCATGGCAGGAAGAGAGGATGATATCGATTTTTGTCAGAAGAAGCGAGATAAATGTACACGCCCTCATACAACAACTCGGCGAAACTCAAGAACACCAAAGGCAGCACCAGCTGAAGCGTTCTCAAACATCCACATGGCACAATGTCCCATTGGACGCGTACAATAAGCAAGAATTGCGAGCATAGGCATCCATCAAGCCTCCATATCCCTGCCTAGACGACCATTCTCAGGACCGTCGGGAACCTAAACTTCCTAGTCTGGGGCACCGGAAAATTATTAGGAAGGGGATATCCAGTGGGAACCTTTTCCTGATCACTAGGTGCACATGTGCAGATGCTCATATTGGTTGCTCGACATTCATGTAAGTGGCCTCGCGTGAGTTAGTACCTGCGGGAATACCTAAACTGGGCTTGCACTAAAACTATCTGGCAGTTCCCCTTTGATGCAACCAAGATAGGATCTCTCAAAGTGTGGAGAGACGTCCTCGGTTGCATTCCTTTGACATCTTCCCCTCATTCCCCTCATTCTGGTCTATTAGCGGAACCCGATTCTGTCCGATGCCGAGACAGCCATCGTGTGCCTCGCCCTCATGAGGCAACAGCCCCAGATGTGGGTAACGTCGGCTTTTTCCAGAAAGAGGGGGTGTAAACACTTGCAAACTCGCTGGATCTCGGACATCTGGAGAATTTACATAGTAATGGGGGAATATGGCCATTCCGACAGCAATACTACAACTATTGCAATGTCAAAACTTCCGGTACCTCAGTAGCTCACCCGCTGACTGCGGAGAGCAGTTCTACCTGAACAGCTGCGTACCCCACCTTAGCAATGCGATATTTCCAGTCATAAATCACTCCCTCCAATAAATAAGCAAAGCAACTGCACTATCACGGTCAATTCGGCCTCCATAACGACACAAGCCAGAAGCCCACATGTGTGGTAGGAGGCTATAATCTGCAATTCAGTCCTCCATGTTCCATGCTAGTAACGAAAGAACCACCGGCGAGCCGGCTAGGGGTCTTCCATCCCATCATATTGGCTTCTCTGTTCTTTCTGTCTGTTTCGGGATAATCAAAATGGGACCTGCGCAAGAATACCAACAGATATGATTCCGCCACTTTCGCTAAACACAGTATATTCCTATTTCCTCCGAGAAACACTACATACTTCTCTCAGAGCAGTATATATGCACCTCGTAGTAGCTGACCTCTTGCACCAGGATCTCATCAGCAAAGTATTGTCTCTTTCGAGACACCCACTCTCTTTTCATTGTAAAATGCGCTCCTTTGCGACTACACTCCTTTTACTTGCAGCTAGCGTCGTGCCTGTGCTCTCACAGGAATCCTCAGCTACAGCGACAGTGACCGTGACCGTAACAGCTGGAACTTGTGATCCCACTTCCGACTCGAGCACCAGTGTTTCGTCGACTTCTTCTGTTCCTACTTCCAGTGCTACTTCTAGCTCACTCGGGTCCCAATGCTCTGCTCCATTGGGATCTGGAACAGCTGGCTCGAACGATCCATGGTGGTTGCAAAACATGCCACATATTGGTACCGCCGCTTTCAACGCCAACCCAAGCACGTACAAAGTATACCGGAACGTGAAGGACTACGGAGCAAAGGGTGATGGTGTGACCGACGATACTGCTGTAAGCCTTGTTCATTATTTCTTAGTGTACTATGACTGATGTGTCTCCATAACAGGCCATTAACGCTGCTATTTCTGGTAAACACGTTCAGTGGACATTGATTGCAGGTTCCTTATGATATGAATAGATCAAAATCGTTGTGGTCTTGGCTGTAAATCAACCACGACCGCACCTGCAATCATTTATTTCCCCAGTGGCAACTACGTCGTTAGTGCACCGATCATTCGTACGTATAGTTAAATATCACAACTTCAGTTCCTTAATAACTGATCTCTTTTAGCCTTTTACTATACCGCCCTTGTTGGTAACCCCAAGGACCGTCCTACAATCACTGCCGCTGCCTCTTTCACTGGCATAGCTGTCATCGGTATGCCCAGAAATCATTACTTGCCTTTCATGTGTCTCTAATGCGTCATCAGATGCCGACCCCTATATCGCCAATGGACAATACTGGGTCAATCAAAATGTAGGTAGTCGTATTGACTACTCGAAATATTCTTATTCTCCCAATAGAACTTCTTCAGGGCCGTTCGTAACTTCAACATTGACCTCACTAGGATGCCTGTGTCGAGTACTGCAACGGGTCTCCACTGGCAAGTGTCTCAAGCCACTTCGCTGGCCTTTGTCAAGGTCATCATGTCCCAGGACCCATCGACGAACCACCAAGGCGTAAGTATCCCAATTTTCTTCACCCGGACATGTATCTCAAACTATTCACAGATATTCATGGAGAACGGTTCTGGAGGTCTTATGAGCGACCTGGAATTCGTCGGTGGCCGTCTCGGTGTGTTTGTTGGAAACCAACAGTAAGTATCAAAGTAGTGTTTTCGATAACCACATATCTGATAACGTCTTGAAAGGTTCACAGTCAGGAACGTCAAGTTCTCCAACAACCAGATCGCCATCCAGGCAATTTGGAACTGGTGAGTCTGATCCTAGTCTTTTCAGCAATTCTGGCACTTACCTCGCTATGGTAGGGGTTGGACATGGCAGAACATCCAGATCGAGAACTGTGGTGTTGGAATAGAAATCAAGACCGGTGGTACATCACAGGATAACCAAGTAAGCCATATGATCAGATCTTTACGTCTTCTAATTCTTCAAAGACTGTTGGCGCAGAACTACTCGTCGATTTTACTGTCAAGAACACCCCAATCTTTGTACGCACTACGACAGACCAACCCAACAGCCTCGGTGGTTCGATTATAATTGACAATGCTCAACTCACCAACGTGCCCATCGCAGTTGGTACCTCGGCAGGCGCTACCACTCTAGCCGGCAGCACTGGTTCGATGACCATTGCAACTTGGGCACAAGGAAATATCTACTCCGGTACTTCGACCACCCCCACTTATGCTAGGTCCAATATCACGCCAGCAACTAAGCCTGCAAGTTTGCTCGACTCTTCTGGCAAGATCCTGAATCTGCCACGACCCCAATACGAAGCTTATGCTCCCGATCAATGTGAGAGTTTTCTATCATGCAAGACACAGGCTTTTTGCTCATACTCTATCGTATAGTCGTCAGCGTCAAGGCAAATGGTGCCAAGGGTGATGGTACAACGGACGATACCTCTGCGCTCCAAGCCATATTTGACAAATATCATGGATGCAAGATTATTTTCTTCGATGCAGGTAATCAAACTTCAGCTAAAACCAGCCAAACCATTTATTGATATTACTCTTAGGAACCTATGTGATCTCCGACACGCTCAGGATCCCGCCCAATACGGATATTGTTGGGGAGATGTGGAGCCAGATCCTGGTCAAGGGAACCAAGTTCAACGACGTCAACAACCCTCGAGTTGCGCTCAAATTCGGCAACACGGGGGACAAGGGCTATTTGAGAGTAACCGATATCGTCGTCAGGTGGGTCTTGACCTGCAATTCTTACTAAACTCCGATATGCTGACGGATATTCAGTACCGTGGCCGGATCTGCTGGTGCCATC